ATATATGTACTTTATTTTAATCTCCATCCATCCATCCATCTTATACCTCGACGCGCTAATAAAAAACTGTATTGAAAAAAACTGCGTCATCAAAAAAGAGGATTCATTTCTTCTATCCTTTCTTCACTCATATCACGCGTTCTATCGCCTACAAAGCATACTATGTTATAATATCAGTCACGTTATTAATCTGGCACATGCCAGATAATTGTGTCATGTAAAGAGTCGTGCACGCTCTATCTTTCTCTAACGTGTGAACCCTTGTTATCTACACATTTTTTGGAGGGACGTGAGGCCCACAGCAGCGGCGGCGGTGGCGGCGGTGGCGATAACGGCGGCGGTGGCGGCGGCGACGGCGATGGTGGCGGCGGATGAAAAAAATAAGGAATGCATTGTTTATGTAATCAACCGACTTGAGTCATCAACGATGACGCCGAGACTTCTCGCGCCTTCCCCCTCTGCCGCCCCTTCCTCCGCCCGCGCCAACGAGTATCCCCCCCGCGCCCCGCGCTCCCCTCTAGCCCCATGGGTTAGAATCCGCCCTGTACTGCTACTCACCTTTAATTTTTTTATAGATCTCGATATGATTTTTTTCATCAAGTTATTCAACATTGAAACAAAAAGAGTCCTTTTTGCTTCATTTTTTTTTGCGCGTGAATGTACATAAGAGTTAATAATTCTTGCTTCTGCAAGTCTTTGCAGATCCTCTGAAGAAATTAAAAAATCATTATTTAATGTCTGTAATGCATTCTCATTTATGAGTTCTTTTTGATTCCTTTTTTTTGTAGTCAAGTCAAATTGTTATTATATGTTTATTCAAACTATATAAAAAAATTAATTATTTTTATTGAAATATTGTATTATTTAGAAATAAATTTAATAGTAATTTAACTTTAAAAAAATAATTTAATTCACATATTATTAGTTTAAAATATCTTATTCAATAACGTATTGATTATTTCATTAATTAACCATAAGAAGATAAAGCATCTTTTTCAAATTTTATTGTTAAGTATAATTTTATATTTTCTTTTGAGAAAAATACTGTTATTTTTATAATTTTATACACGAATAAAGATTATTTTACAAGAAATGTAGTTTTCAATGAAAAAGTTGGAAATTTAATTCTCGATCACTTATATTCAAATCGATACCACTATGTGCCGGTGGTACTGTAACTTTCAAATATCATAACTCAAAAAGTACTCAATAAATAATAACTTTATTATAGTGTTTTGGAAAGTTCTCGACATTGGCTATTAGATTTTGGAATCAAAAGTAAGATATTTCGTTTTAAAAAATCGATCTTGATCTGACCTTGGAGACACCACCTAAAGTTAGGAAGTAAATAAAAAGGGATTAAAGAATTGGAATTGGTAACAACACGTTTCTCTCTTTAACATAATAAAAACTTATGTGTATAATGCATTTTTATAACAATCCACTGCAAAATTTATTAGTACATAATATTTTATGATTTATTATAATTTATTATAATATTATTCAACTTCCTAGCCATGAAAAATAACATATAAATTAATTTTTTGAAATAATGAATATAAGTATTTTTTTAAAACAATGTACTTATATATTAATAAGACCCACTTATGTGACTATTATTATAGATATTATTATTTGTTTA